GGACTGCCCGGGTTGACTAGGGGCGCTGACCCCTACCCCCCGGGAGGCCTCAGGTGCCGAGGGCCCTGATAAGGCCCGGGGGGGCGAGAAGGGGCGCAAACGCCCCAAGCAGGCACAGAAGCCCCCTCCTGCAGGTGCCGAGGGCCCTGACACAGGGGGGGGACAGGCCAGGTGGCGGCCATCCTCGGCGGAACAAGGATGGGGGCGGCAGAACCAGCGTGTACAACGCCCTCGCCGTGATCAGAACAGCCACACAACCGGCACAACGGCGGCGCCTCAGTCCCGAGCCACAGGTGCCGAGGGCCCTGATATGGCGGGGACGGGACGGTTCCCCGCAGGTGCCGAGGGCCCTGACACGGGGGGCCGCACCCAGAAGGCCCGAGTGCCGGATGACTGGCAGCACACCGCAACGCCAAGGGACACTCCCAGGAAGCAGCCGATCCCACTTCCGGCGCCCAACATCATCAAGCAGGACCCGGTGGTTTTCCACAAGAGCTCGGTGGGGCTGAATGAAGGGGGCCAACGCCTTTCAGCTACCCCCCTGACAAGTCCAACGGAGCCGTCACCGGGATTGGATATCTTCCCGTGGATGGAGAACATCCCTGAGCGTCTGGTACAGCGGTTGAGATGGACACAGGGCACATCGCCCAAAGTTCCATCCAGTGGGCCCATCATTGTCCTGCTCTATGCAGGCAAGGAGGACCCTACTTCCTTGGACAGCTGTCTTCATGCCAACTACCCACACCTTTCCAGCATGGTGGTGGCGGTAGACATCCTACGGTCTGGACCCAAGGGGGACCACGATATGCTCCAACCCGAGCTGTATGGAGCTCTTTGCACGGCAGCAAAGCAGGGCCGAGTGGTCTTCATTGGAGGAGGACCCAACTGCAGGACATGGTCCATCCTGCGCCACATACCAAAACCGGGGGCTCCCACCCCGGTGCGAGGGCGCACTCCAGAGACACTCTGGGGCCTTCCACACCTGGACCAGGCCGCCCAGACTCAACTTGATGATGACAGCATCCTCATTCTGAGACAGATGTACATCACCAGCCTGGCAAGGGCCTCACGAGCGGCGGTTTCTCTGCCAGGGCCCAGGTCCTTCCTGGAACACCCGGAGGACCCAGTGGTGAGCAGCTCGCTGCCCAAAGCCAAGGAATGCTCATCCTTCTGGATCACAGAGGAGGGGCAGCTTTGGATGGAGGAGAACTCCTTGACAGCAATCTCCTTCGACCAGTGCCGCCTGGGCCAGCTGGTCAAGAAGGCCACTACGCTGGCCACGGATCTCCCGATCCAGGACTGGGATCAAATGCGGTGCACGCATCAGTCACATGTGGGCACCAACGAGTCCTCGACTCTTAGCAGATACCCTTGGGATATGATGGCAGGCCTGGCCAAAGCCATCGCTGTGTCACTCGCAGCGCCGGGGCACATCCGGATCCCCTCACAATTTCCGGGAAACCCCAAGGAACCACCTAAGGGGCGGGGGTCGGACCCCCCGGAAGGCCATTCCCCCCGGGGAAAACGGGGGCCCAGTCAAGGAGGCGGTCCCTCCTCATCACACCAGGGCTCAAAGCCCGGAGGCAAGAACGCCCCGAAGCCCCGCCTGCACGGGCAGTTCCACCCTGAGGCAGACACCGTAAGCCCTCGTGGAACAATGAACCCAGACTTCCCATCTCCCATGCCCCCGATGGCCGGAGATGCGGAACAACTGGGGAAGGAGGGACAGGGGGACCAGGTCCTGGACCGCCCCGAATGCCTGCCCGCCTTCAGGGTCCCACACCTCACTGACCGGGCGGCGATTGTCCAATTGGGCTTCCGCTCACGCCCCCTGAGGGATGGGGGGGGAAAACCTTCCCCAGGGAGGCTCAACCCCCCTTTTCGGAGAATTTCCCCATTGGCTACTTTGGGCGCCCTGATCATGACCCTTACCCGTCCCTGGATTGACAAGGTCCGAATGTCCCTGGCATCAGGTGCCACCACACACCCCTTCCAGGAAGCCGACCTCGAAGAGCTGCGGGCTATCCTAGGACCGAGGCACCTCCATGAACGATGCCCAGGACAACCCTTCCTCCTGGACTTAGTGTCGCACTTGGCATCCCTTTCAGGTGACCCTGATTGGGAATTCCCCCTAACACTGAAAGAGGGGGTCCCCTTGGGAGTCTCGGACCCTACCTTGACCTCCCCGGGAGTTTGGCCCACTAAGGAGGAGCTTAAGGGAGAAGCCTGGCTGGGGGAAGATCCCCCCCCGCCAGTGGCTCATGGTAACTACCCAACGGCTGAACTCTTTGCCAAGGAAATCGAATCAACCTTTTACGAGGAACGAGCCTTGGACATGGTGGACGGGCCCTTCACTCGCTCCGAGGCGGCAGAGAGGTGCCGCTGCAAACCGGAGGAACTTTGCCCGGGCCCCCTTGCAGGGATTGATGAGTCGGACAAGATCAGGACGATCTATGATGGCTCAAAAGGGGGAGCAAACGCACACATCCAGGCTCACACGGAGGAGAAGACCACCGCACCGATGGTTGGAGACTGCCTCCATGCCATCCATTGGCTCAGGACAGCGGCGGACCATCCTCATCTACTCCGAGCCCCATCCTCGGGCACTGATGAGGAACCTCGGGATGTTCGCCAGTCGGTGCAGGGGCAGTCCCCAGGTGCCGAGGGCCCTGAGAGGGCCCCCCACAGCACCAGCCCGCCCCCAGGTGCCGAGGGCCCTGATAGGGGCAGGCGGATGATGGAGACCTGGACGTCTCTCCGCGGTCAACACCCTCAGGGAAGGGGCCACCCCAGGTGCCGAGGGCCCTGATCGGAGGGCCCCATTCCCCCCAACCCCCCCAGGCACGGAACGCCCTGGGGGGAGCAGGGGGGAACCCCTGACGTGGCAGCCGCCGACACAGGGGGAAACCTTCATCATCCTCAAGGCGGATGTCACCAAGGCCCACAGGCGCATCAAAGTGCTCCAGAAAGACTGGAAATACCAGGTGGCCTGCATCCAGAACCGGTGGTGGGTCAATAGAGTGGGCACGTACGGCATGGCCTCGGCACAACTGTACTGGGGAAGAAAGGCATCCTTGGTGCTCAGACTCTTGTACTACATCTTCCCTCAGGTAGACTGGCACTTAGTTTTTGTGGACGACTACTGCTGGGTCCTCAGATGCAGCAGGGCGGACTGGGACGCCACAGCCATCCTGGCCACTCTTCTGGCGCTGGGAGTCCCGCTTTCTTGGAAGAAGACGGCGCTCTCCCCGGTCAATACCTGGTTGGGATTCGTGGTGGACCCCATCACGCCCTGTGTGCTGCTGGCTCCAGTCAAGCACGTCATAATCCTGGCCACTCTCAAACGGTTGGCCCAGGGGGACATCTTTACCAGCAAGGAGGTGGAACAAGCCCTGGGCCGGATTCAATGGGCTACTTCGGCGTGTCCATTGACGAAACCTTTCCTCCAGCCCTTCTGGAGCTGGAAGAAGGCCTGCACCACTTCGGGCAGGCCACCGAAACTGGTTCGTGCTCTGGCCATCCTTCTGGGGAAGCTCTTCAACCAGAGGTTCCCATTGGCATCTCCATTTGCTCCCACACTTCCATGGACGGGGGCATCTGATGCGGGAGCTGGCAAACAGGCGGACCATGCATGGGTTGGTGGTTGGTGCTCGGACGTGCCCAACCCCGACAAGTCCCGAGTGAAGTGGTTCCAACACAGAATCACACCGGAGGGCGAGCCGTGGGCCTTCACTACTGGGGACCCGCAGCGGGCGATAGCGGCCTTGGAGCTCTTCGGCCTCCTCCTTTTGGTGAGGGCTGTTCTGCTTTGTGCAGCCGGCTCGGCTTCTCACACTAGGATTCTGGTTGCTAGTGATAACCAGGGAAACGTTTTCTCCCTGCTTAACGATTCCACTCGCAGGATGCCCAATGCGGCCATCCTCATGGAAATTGTGTTAACACTGCATGACCACCAGGTCATGTTAGGACCGTCGCATGTGAAGCGCGACTTTAACACATGGGCGGATGAACTTACTCATCCGGACCCGCAATTTCCGACTGAGAACCGGGTCTTCCCCTCAGTCGAAAGCGAATTGATCAAGCTGATCTTCGCTACTTTCCTTCCTCACCCATGATGCCGGGAGGGCATCCGGTGAGGTGGGAGGATTCCTCCCTCGCTGTGGGAGTGGCATCAATTCTACTCCCATCAGCTGCTGAGGGGAGCTGCCCAGTGGAGCTGGGCAATCCTCCCATTTTGGCACTAATCCTTATGCGGCGTAAAGGATGCACCGTTCGCGATTAAGGTACCAGTAGCACCAATGTGGTGCTTTGAAGAGTCAAATTGATTGACCCAACGAAGGCAACCGACCTGCCCATAGCAGAGTTTTGACTGCCATTTGCCCTGGGATCCAATATTTTCAACCGCCCCCCTCCCCGTGCCTGATCAGGTTGACCTTCACTTCCTGTCGAAACATGGTGCAAAGTGAGTCACAACCAAGACCAGGTGTCAGAATCTTAGTGGCAAACAAACAGTTCGAACTTTTTTAAGGCCAATCCACTCGATCGGAAGTGAGAGCAATATACCAAGCCCGTCTAAGAAACGCTTCGCGGCCAAAGCCCCGACGATTGGGGATCTTCCTACCTCATTTTAACCCGGGATCTAAGTAGGACCCAGCCGGGCGCCCCTCCAAAAATGAACTCCCCGCGAAAATGGGACGCGCCCCGTTTGATCAGCCTCTTTTTGATCAATCCGGGGTTTTCATTACCCACATTGCTGTTAGTTGTTCATGTGGCTCAAGGCGACGTACTTCGCAGTCAGGTGAGAGCTCCTGCGGCTCGAGTATACGGGTCCAAGGCATTGGTTTCCCGATGCGAGAAAATGCCAGCCCTTGTTCGCAAGGGTATGATGTCAACCCCTGAGTAAACGAGGAGGGACTTGCCATGGAAACCGGTGTTTTCCTAAGCATCGGAAAAAGCAGGTAGAGCCCGTCCAAGCTGTCCTTCCGGGATGTGCAGCTAAGGTAATGGGTCTCGGGCAACTTCTCAATCGAGCTCCATATCCGATGCCTTCTGGAATCCGTACAACCATATGAGTGGCGACCTGAGAATGTTTTGCGATTTCGCGACAGATGTGTTGTTGGTTTTCAGGGAAGCGGCCAAATACATCCCAAGACTCCGCCACGAAAACTCAGGCGAAGCGAGCAGTGACATAGGCGGCGGGCTGAGTATGCAGCCGCTGGGTAGTGGATATCGCAGATGCAAAATTCACGGTAAATCAGTACTCATAGCAGTTGGGCTGAACTGGTGCCAGTTCAGGTCGTTTTTGTTGCTTTCATGGTGAGAGCAGAACTTGTCAGTTCGTTGACTGTGCAAGTGCTGGGATTTTGCCCCAGTGTTCATAGCATTCCCTTACCCCACAAACCCCACCGGCCGTCTGATCCTCCGAAGCCAACCCTTGCTTGCAGGCGAGTCACTGAACACAGTCCATGACGGCATCTTGGCTGAGAGAATCTGCTTTGCGCAAAGGAACTCAGGGCTGCTCTGACAAAGGCAATCCAAGCCCAGAAGGTACAACAAGTCTGTGGTGTTCTTTTATTTCCCTTTGCCAAGGGGCTAACTAGCCTCTGAATTGTCTACAGGTAAACAGTTTTCTTGTTCTAGACCAACAAAGCATCCAGGGTTTCCGTTTTGATTTGGCCGAGGAGTGGTGAATGATGCCCCGGATGTCGTCTGGGACCTGCAGGCGGATGTCTTCCGGCCCGTTCCACCAAGCGCCCGTCCAACCGCCCCTGGCCATTTCACAAGTTGCTTTCGTAGCCTCAAGAAAGATGTATTAATGTACCTGTGGTTGCGGCTTTGGCAGTTCGGCATGTCCGCAGCTTTGCGGCCTCCCAAAAGTTACTGCCCGGAAGAAAAGGGGTAGCAAATCATCGTTGGACTGTTGGGCGCTGCTCAACTGATATCATAGGATCCACCCAACCGCCCCCCCAACCCCACCCGCAGCTGTTTCCCGAAAGTAAGGCCTGAATAAGGCCTTAGGTTATGATTAGGGGGATGCTGTGGTTGAAGGTTACGGTGCAGTCGCAGGCATGCGGTCCTGCCGAATCGTTGCACGATTTGGCACCCTTTGGTCGTTCATTTTTGTTGAGCGGTTCACTCGGGCGGAATGCAACCCTCGTCTGATCAGCGAGTAACTCCCGGGTCAGTTCGGGTTTGGGACCTGAACCTCCCACTTGCTTTTGGATCCCAAAACAGAGAATATCAGAGAGAATTTTGGATCCCATCCGTCTGTCTGGGGATCTTCCGGAGCCTCTATTGGAATCTCCATGTCAGCATGTAGATCAACATTCCACATGTTTTTCACGACGACTTGGTTGCCCTTTTGAGTCACCTTTGTGACAATTCATGACTCACATGACAATTCCAAAGCACATGTTGGCATGGCACGACCTTGGATCAGGACGTGCCCGGATCGTTTTCACAACCGGAGAGCCACCTGGCATCATGGTGCTGCGTTCAGCCCACTCAAAAAGTACATTCGGCTTGGTCAAAGTTTCCAGTAGACGTAGACTATGGTCCATGTAGAGGGAACATGGCTGACTAGATTTGCCCACAAGAACCAAGCAAGATTGACAGAGGCTCACATAATAACCACGGTTATCATTGTTATACTAGCCCTTGTTGTTTCACTTGTCCCGTGGTTGTCAAGGGACCCCCCGACAGACCCCCCCTTCCCAGTAGGACGCCAAACAACACCATGTTTGGGTTTTCGAAATTTGATATACCCAGAGAACGCAAAACAACCTGGACCATTTAGTTCATCGCGCAACAATTGTTAACTTGAGGTTTCTCAACCTCGAGCATTTTTTTGGAAATCGGGCGGTTTTCGAGCCCAGTGCAAGGGCTGCCTCTGTGAAAGCTCATTGACGACGACGACCGCCCTACTGGCTAATGCTGGTTTGCTTAGAGACTATGTAAAATGGTATGTTTTGCGCAGGGTGCACGGGGCGACTTCATGGAGAAGCTCGATCTATCAGGGGCTGTTGTCCGGGCTCCACTTGTGTACGGGGTGAAAGTGCTGCCCTTGAAAGTGCAAACTAGACCAGCGCATGGGCAACTTGGGGTCAAAACAGAGCGTGGGTGAACTTGACATTTTAGACCAGGGAACGGCCAACGTTTGGAAAAAGAGCGATTTGGGCAATAACAAGCGGGAACATTGGACAAGCGAATGGGCAACTTGGGGTGCAAACAAAGCTTGTGGTCCACTCGGAGAAAACTTCACAAGCAGGCGGACTTTGACGTCAGAACGAAGCAGGGGGCGCGTTAGGGAATCCGCAACTTGAGCGCAGTTTTCCGCTATATACTCCAGCGCAGCGTCTAGCTATTCGAGCGCATCTTCACAAAGTGTGCGAATTCGGGAGCCCAAAGCCCAGAAAAGCCTTACTACACTCAAAATGTGTTTTGGGTCAAACAAAGTAGCATTTGTGGGAAAACGGGACCTGCAACGGTGCAAAGCAGGACGTGCAATTGCGCAATTGGATATGCAATGGTGCAAAGACAAGATGCGGGCAGGCCGTTTCATGTTACAAGCCTTTGCGAGAGCTGGGTTCTCGTTGCAGAAAATGCACGGCGCACAAAAGGAGTTGTCCTGTGGGTTGTCCCGTGTGCTGGGGCTGCGCAAGCTGTGAGAAAGGGATGCCTCGCTCTCCATCAGCACGGTGCGGCTCACAGTTGCTCTTCGTGCTGCAGTGAAAGTAGTTTTAGGAGTCCGGCTGCCAATCGCAGTCGAGCTTCACTAAGTTAAACATGGATCTTGACTCTATGACCCCCTGCCGAAAAGAGTGAGTGCTCCTTGCGTCTCAGAGTGCGGCAGGTGGGCATCAGGGAGGATAGAATCAAGCACTTTTCAAGGGCTCGAGCAGTTTTTGGAATTCGATCGTTTTGCACCACTTATGAGCTGTGTTTTTGTAGCGCAAATTTCTGTAGCAATGAGTTTTCGAGGAAAGCTAAGTTACTAAGTTTGGCCATCCAATGGTTGCGAATAAGAAGTCAAGAGCCCAACCATGGTCTTTGTTTCCGGTTTATGAAGCGTGCTTTGCCCGTGGTCGAGGGGCAAGTTGGGAGTGACATTTGGCTGTGTTGTTCGCTGGGTACTAAATAGCCCACACATATTAGTTGTACCAAAGGCAGCCAAAAGGGGATCGATGTTGGTACTGTTTTCGGACACCCCAATCGTCTCCCTCGTTTCACAAATGCGCCCTACTGAAAAGAAGAATACTACTTGTTCGAGACTATACTAAACCAACACTAGGTTGTCTTTACTTGCTAATACAACCTTTACTTCCCCGTACTAACCACAGTTGAAAACCAACTATCTTGGTTTCCCTTCATATTGTGTACTACAGTTGAAACAGTTGACACTTTGGCACCGTTGCTGGACGGAGCACACTTGCAATAAGCAAGAGCCGCACTGGTAGCCTGTACAAGAAGTGATTCGGGAGAATCCCAGTGCTGCAAGCCACGGAGCCAGGAAAAGGTTTCCGCTCGACTCGATCGCCGAGCCACCCGAGGCGGGTTCTTTGGCAATCACCATTCGGAGAAGTTAGAGGCCGATCGGAGCGTGGCTGGCGCGGCGGGCGAGAACATTTCGGGATATGGGGTAAGACCCCCAAAAGTGGCAGGCCCAAACAGTGAAAACATGTTTTTGCGTGTGTCTTCTTTTTTCCGCAGTCAATGACCGGAGCAGATTGGCGTCAGGTGGATGCTTGTTCAGTAGGGTGAGGCCCCTGAGGCGGTAACGAGACATGCTTGAACTGCATCCTCCTTCGATCGGTCGCAAGAGTGCCACATCTTTTGGCTGTTTCAATTTGGGCAAAGAGCACCCCGGGCAAAACGCGCACCAGATACATCAGTTTGGGAGGTTCATTTCCTGACAAGTGCTTAGGTGCCAACCGAGGTGACACTGAATCAGTGGACTTAAGGGTCGGTCCCCAGTTCGGCTGAGGAGAAGTGCCCCGTCAAGGAGGTTGCTGAGGTTGCCAACGATGACTCCCAGCCACCCTTGACACCTTGCACTCCAGGCAGAAAATCGCTCGGACTTCGTGGGAGAATATGGAGCCCTGACGAGCAGATGCGCCGTTTGAATTGCTCGGCGTTTTGGCCAGGGCGTTTACCAGCAGGCAATGCAAAGAGAGCTACCACACAAAATCAAAATGACTGGGAGTCTCTTGCGTCCGGAACCAGCCAACTTGCTCACATTCGGTCAAGCTTTGTTTCAAGACTTACCACTGCCTGTGGTCGATGTGGCCGTCGTGGCCATGGAAGGCTCACACGATTCCGCAAAAGCCGGGCGACTCACTGCCATCCCCCCCCCCGCCTTAAAGAGATGCACGGTCAACTTCCATTTGGTGAGTGTGCAGCTCTCCAGGGTCCTCAATCAAGATGGTCCGAAAAGCCAACGCCAAAAAGCATGCGGGGCCAATCCAAAAGCTTTGGCTTCTGAGCGTATCTCCACGATTTCTCCGAACTGAAAGACCAAACCACAGCTCCTTTTCCGGCTAATCTACCCTTGCGACAGATTTTGAGGCTGAGGAGTTCTCAAAATGACTTTTGCGATGTGTGTTTCTTTTACACCGTTCGGGCACTATTGAAGCTGTCACAAACACAAAGCCCCTTCCCATCAGCAAAGGGGTTGGTTTATGCTTAGAATGTCTGCTAAAGTTACCTTTAGTTTGGGTTTAGTTTTTGGTTCGACAGGTTTCCCACGAGATGGTCCACTCAGACTCACAGCCGTAGGCCGCGTCTTCGCAGTGGCCAAGCCCGTCAAAAAGGGCCGCAGTTGGCAAGCTCCGCTGCCTCCTGGGGCTGTCAACCTTCCAAGCCCCTCGGTGAACAAGCCCATGGGCTGCATGAATGTATTGTGTATGGTATGTAATGTATTATGCATTGCATATGTGCATACATACATACACACATACATACATACATACCTACATACCCAAATACCTACATACCTACATACCTACATACCTACATACCTACATACCTACATACCTACATACCTACATACATACCCACATACCCACATACCCACATACCCACATACGCACATACCTACATGCATGCATACCTACCTACATGCATACCTCCATACCTACATACCTACATGCATGCATGCATGCATGCATATGTCAATGTGTGTATATATATATACACATACATACGTACGTAAATATGGGTACATGCATGGGTACTTGCATGCATAGGTACATGCATGCATACATACATTTGGATACACGTGCACATGTACATAAAACCATACATTCATACATCCATCCATGCATGCATACATGCATACATGCAAGCATGCATACGTCCTGTATGTAATATACATATACAACCTGTCGGGTGCCTTGGGTTTGTTTTCTGGTTTGGAGCCTCACAAAAGAAGCCATCAGCAAAGGCGACAAGCTGTGGGACAGCTGTGTGGACCAACGGAGCCCCTTGGCTCCATGAATGGAGCTTGAAGCGGACATGTGCGCATGTGTGAAAATATGGGGGGTTCGGGGACCGCCAATGGTGGCTTTCCTTTTTGGGTGAAAGGGTACGTTCAAGAAGCGTGCGCCCGTGTACAGATATGTGATCGTTATCCTGACTTTCCAAAACTGTGCAAGTGTGATTTCAGAAGCCCAAGTTTAGGGGTCATGGTTTTTTTTATTGTTCAAGGCACACGGTGGGTTGATAGCCCACTGGGCTTGTCACATGCGTGATTCGCTCGTGATACAAGCCAGCCCGTGGCCGAGGCCAAGAGGATGAGGCGCAGACAATTCGACGGATGTACCTTTGAACTGGAAGCCTTTGAAGGAGTACTTCGCTGGGCTGTTCCCAGGGGGTCCCATACCTTTAGGTGCTTAGCTGGTCAGAGGGATTTTGGGCAGACCCACGAACCATTGTGTTTAAAGTACGTTTTGACAACGAAGCCTTTGTTTCAAGCTGTTTTCTTATTTTTTACAATAACGGGACATTAGGAGAGTCGAACATATTTTAACTTATCATGTCTCAGGGGTTTGGACTCATGAGGGATCCACAGTTCGCAAATTTGTTTCATGTGGCTATAGAGTTGCGTTTCATTCGGGAAATGTCAGAATGTTCCGAGGAACTTGAAGCAGCCGCTCGTTGCGCGCAAGTTACCAGTGGAAAATCAGGTTTCTCACCGAAATCACGGAAATGTCAATTGGGCACACCTGATGAGTATTGATGGCTCTCCCATGGATGCTTGGGTATCCTCAGAAAATATGATAAATCACTTGTCTTGGTGAGTTCCCCGTTAAAAGCGATTCGGGCTGATTGCAGCCGGATTGTTGGGGTCTCCTCCAAACTTGCTTATACTTTGGACAGACTATACATATGAAACGGAATCTGGGCATGTTTGTTTGCTGTCTACACCAGATGCGCCAAGGGGCCCATTTTCCACCGTGGTTGCAGTGCTGGCTATTGGATCCAAAGGGCCTTTAAGCTCTTGGAGAACCAGCAACAAGTCAGAGGACAAACTCAGGCAAGTCACGCCTCGAACCGCCGCCATCGGCCAGGGCGCGGCAGGTCCCACGGGTCCGGCAGGTCCGGCAGGTGCAGGACCTGTAGGGCCGGTAGGACCTGGGCCTGTGGTGCCCGGCAAGGCGCGGGGTGTGCATTCTGTGCATAGAATGGAGACGTCGCTGGAACCTTTTGGCCCTTCCAACCCCAAATCTACCAGACTTTCCAGATCTCCAGGAATCCTTGAACAGAGCAGGCGTCCCATGCAAGGTCTTGGCGAAGCAACTTATCTTGTCGCCAATCCCAGAAAAGCAAGACGTTGCTGGCCCAACAACTGAGGCACGAATATAGCTCCTGGCTATTAATTCACTCTTTTGTTTGACTTCTCGGAAGCTTCCTTCACAACGTTTGGGTGGTGCGGCCTTTGGTTCCTATTGGGTGGTCTTTGGCTTTACCCCTAGTTTGCATGCAAACCCGATGTTCGGTGCCCAAGCTGCCCTGAAGCGTGCATGATGCGTGGGTTATTCGGCTTCGGCCGTCCGACTCGGATTTTTTGAGCGCTCGAGGTCAAGGGGCCGAGCTTCCTGGCTTGAAGCAGAGCCGGCTTTGGCTTTTCTCACAGCGCCAGGGTGGTTACCCGTATGTGAACATATGGCCAAAAGAAAAGGATGGGGCAACATGAGGTTCGCTCCAAATTTCTGGCAGTCTATAGGGGACAAGCACTTTTGTTCTCACACCCAGGGAGACGAGCCCTGCATGGCCAGACTTCAGCCCTGAGTCCCGACCAATGGGAACCCAGGACAATCCCCAGATAGGGTGCTACATTCATGAGGGAGGCCCTTTTATTCCGCCAGGCTTATTCATCCAAGGTGAACATTAGGTTAGTTGGGTCTGTCGGACGTTCACATAAACATTCCCCCCTCTCTAAAAATGGAGTTGGGGAGAGGGGAAGGGTTGCCACACTCGTAGACGGGGTCTCGACACCTTCAACGATCGAAGACAATTCCGCTACCCAATCTACGCATACAACAGCCGCTTTGTACTTGGTGCATGTGTGATTTTGGGTCTCGGTAGTGGTTTAGAATCACAAGATAAGGATAAGACACAGCTATGAGTATGGGAAGGCTTTTGCTGGCAAGCACAACTGGAACATCATGTGAGTCGGGGAAAAAAAAAAAAAAAAAAAAAACGTTGTATGTGTCAATGTCAGGCATGATCCCAGGTCTTTTGGACCTATCAAATTAGCTGCACCGCCGCTTGTAATTTGAATGGCAGGAGTGTGTTGCAGGAGCGGCCGCGCAAGTCAAACATGGGGCCGCGCAAGTAAAGCGCAGGTGAAGCGCAAGTGACGCAGTGATGATTCATCATCATCATCATCATCATCATCATCATCATCATCATCATCATCATCATCATCATCATCATCATCATCATCATCATCATCCGCATGGTCGAAAGAATCCGGAATATTGCTAAATTTTCACGCAAGTCGCGCGCAAGTCGCAGCAGCCAGCAACAATTTGCAGCAGTGTACACACCTGAGACCTCATACACTTAAGGGGCATGTTTTTGGGGGACCTCACTCTTATGAAGACCGCCGCTTGGATTTGCAATGAAAACATCCTGGGATAAGAGTTTTAATACGGGTTTTTTTTCCAGCTCATGTGGCGTGAGTTTACAAGTGCTGGTTCGCCAATACGGAGCAGAATCCAAGCATGTCATGTTCAGTTGGGGGCTAACGCTCAAGTAGAAGCTCACTGCAAAGAACTGAGCTAAGTAAGGCTCCTGACGGCTCCAATCAGCCACCGGCTGCAGAGTTTGGCCAACCCCTCCAAGACTCTACGATCTCCTGCAAAACTATTTCTTGAGTTAAAACTCAATATGAAACTGAACATTTGCAAATCGTTTATTCAGTGTCCAGCGGGCGCTTGGCCCAACCATGTTCTTGGCTGCTGTTCAGCCGGCTGAGGCCTGGCTCCATGAGTTCCAGGACCGTTTTCATTTCCAGCCATACTCGTAGCTTCACCGGGCGAGCCATTCCACCAACAAGGCAAGTGAACCGAGCGATTTCCCAGGTCCAAGTGGAAAATGAGTAGTCTTATTTCGGGCAAATGGCTTCCAGGATTCCAGGCTCCGCTTAGACCCCCCTTTCGGGATGGCTTTAAAGGGAAGCATTTGCAACTAACCGGAGGTCGCCCAACCCCCTTTGGAATTGGGCGGCAAGGGCCGATGTTTTTCCCAGACGTCTGGAGGTCGAGGGGAAATCCCAACGGGTGGCCTCCAGGTTTTGATGACTCGGGTGTCTCGTGGAAAAATAGTTTGGATTCCTGGATCCAGGCGCTGTTGTTTTGCATCCGCAAACTGCGCCCATGAAGGAGATGTTTCTGAACGCAAAGGTGGCGTCCTCACTGTGGACCCCGGAAGGCTTGAACCCGAGAGTGACTAGACCACGGTTGGCCCGAAAGCATCACAGCCCGGCGATCATTCCCGCGCAAGTTTGTTGCTCGATGTGGTCACGAGCAACACACAGCAACTAACCTTGTTCCCTTGCCACCTATCGGACCCCCCCTCACACGAGTTTGCCAAGCACGTCAAAGATGACACATATACCACCGTCGAGCAAAACAGTGACCACAACGCAAGTGACTCTCATGATGACTCTGTGCAATGACTCTCATGATGATTCTGTGCAGTGGCTCTCCTGGTGATTCTGTGCAATGACTCTCACGATGACTCTGTGCAATGACTCTCGTGATGACTCCGTTCAATGACTCTTGTGTGATGACTCTATGCAATGGCTGTCATGATGACTCTGTCCAATGACTCTTGTGTGATGACCCTATGCAATGGCTGTCATGATGACTCTGTGCAATGACTCTCATGATGACTCTGTGCAATGACTCTCATGATGATTCGGTGCAATGACTCTCGTGATGACTCTGTGCAACGACTCTCGTGACGACTCCGTTGAATGCCTCGTGTGTGATGACTCTATGCAATGGCTGTCAGAATGACTCTGACTCTATGCAATTGAATTTCATGATGATTCTGTGCAATGGCTCTCATGATGACTCTGCGCAATGACTCTCGTGATGACTGCGTTGAGTGACTCGTGTGTGATGACTCCATGCAATGGCTGTCATGATGACTTTGTGCAATGACTCTTGTGTGATGACTCTACGCAATGGCCGTCATGATGACTCTGTGCAATGACTCTCATGATGCTTCTGTGCAGTGACTCTCATGATGACTCTGTGTAATGACTCTCATGTTGACTCTGTGCAAGGACTCTCATGATGATTCTGGGCAATGACTCTCATGCTGATTCTGTGCAATGACTCTCTTGATGATTCTGCGCGATGACTCTCACGATGACTCTGTGCAATGACTCTCGTGATGACTCCGTTCAATGACTCTTGTGTGATGACTCTACGCAATGGCTGTCATGATGAGTCTGTGCAATGACTCTTGTGTGATGACTCTACGCAATGCCCTGACCCTCAAGCGCCTCTGAAAAACAAGTGCGTCCCGTCTTTGGCTTCCACGTCGCTTGTTCGTAGCCCACGTCGCTAATCCGCTTTTTGCCCAAGACATCACGCCAATAACTCCATGGTCGGCTTTTAGCTAGCGCGTCCAGCCTTTGTCCTCCACATTGCTTTTTCATAGACGTCCACGTCGCTTAAAATCCGCTTTTTGCTGAAGGCAAGACATCGTGCCAGTAATTATCCCATCGGCTTTTGCAATTGGCCTAGCATGGGGTCCGTGCATGGGACAAACAAGCATGCAAACACACAAACAATCAAGCAAACAAACAACCAACTAAACAAACAAAACAAAAAGACTAACAACTCAAAACAAAAAGCCAACAAACAAACAAATTAAACAAACAAACAAACGAGCGCGCAAAGACGCAAAGAGACAAACATGTTAAGAAAGCATACAGACAGACACAAAAACAAACAAGTTAAGCAAGCAAGCAAACAAACAAAACAAAGCAACACAAAAACAAACAATCAGACAGACCGACAAGCAAGGAAAACAAACAAACAAACAAACCGACAAGCAAGCGACAAAATACATTCAAAAAACAAACAAGAAAAAACAATCAAGCAAACAAACAAACAAACAAAGAAAACAAACAAACCAACCACAAACAACCAACCATCCAACCAACCAAACAAACAGATTAAACAACACACACACAATTGGAACAAACAAACACACACACACACAAAACCGATTTGCGTCGCACGAACGAGCCAACGAACAAACAAACAAACAAACACAAAACAAACAAACAAAGAAACAAACACACGCATCGCACACACGCACACACAAACATTCAGCATTGCTTGCTCGCGTGAGATTAGAAAAACTGTCAAAAGCTACTTGTTTCACTTCCAGATGCTCGTGTGTGGGCGCGCTGTACATGTTTTGCACCTGCGCACACCTGTATGAAACTTTCATTTTTATCATTACTCAAGATCAACCATGACATCAAAAGATTAAAGCGCAAGCTGGCTCACACAAAAATTCAATCACATGCGATCCAAAACGCATTACATTACGGCGCGCGCGCAGCGCTAGCCGAGCTCGAGTAACTCTTTTCCACTCACGGATTTGCCCGGCGTTGGCCATTCATCCCGTTTCATTCGGAATGTCCTGCGCGCACTACGAATTCAAGCCACCGGACTCCGTCGCACAATGAAGCCGCGCAGCATCAACCGCATGCCAACTTTATGACTACACAACACAACCTGCCTGATCTTGCCCCTGGCGTGCTTCAGCCTCAAGAGTGACCTCGAAAGAATTCCACGTTGAAGGGCGAAACGATGGCATGATTTTGCCACCCCTCGGCAGAGACGTTCTGAGCAAATGCTGAAATTTGGAGCGGCTTGGCGTATCTCATGAAATCCTCGTCACACATAGTGTGCTCGAAGCGAATTGAATATCCCGCGTGCACGCAGAACAAATCCAGCGTGTCAGGAGCTCAAGTTTGCAGCAATTATAAATACCGAGGAGCGTCTCCGTGTCAGGTCTATCAACTGATGGTGCAGCGCCTCGAGCCCAACTAGCTAGCGCTGTAGCCAGCATGATATCAGGCCCTGGCATGGTGCTTTGGGATTTGCGTCCGCCGAATTTGATTGCGCCTGCACACATATAGATGCATTCGAACTGAACTCATGATCATGATGACACGCATGCTTGCAAGGCGCACACACACACACACTCAATTGCAAACGGCAAACGCCTCAAGGATATTCGTGCCAGAACTTTCCCCAACTCTAAGTAGCGGAGCCCATGAGATTGGATTTCCGCAGCCTCTCCTTCAGACCTTTCAAGTACTTCTATTCTCAGCAACTACACAAAGATGCCAGCGGTTAACTGAAGCATGTTTTTGTTGCGACGCTCTAGGTCTGGGCTGCTGACAAATACCGCCCAGCGCGCTCCAATGTGGAGACCATGTTGTTCCCGCTTGCCCTGCCAAAAAACCAATGAGCAACTTGCAAGTGTAGCTGTTGAGCGCACAGTCGCAACTGAGTTGCACGCATGCATGTCGCCATGATCGCGCACTCAGAATTTCCAGAATGTTGTTGGTGGAGTTCTTTGCAGCATGATGCAAGCCAGGCGCAAACCACGCGGCCATTGTAGGCCTTGAGATTCCAGCACGGCGCCTCTGCATGAACCTGATCACTTGAAAATTGCAGGAGTCATGAGTCATGTGATCTGTTGTAACTGCAAACCATGCGCGTGCGGGCGCCAGCAAACATGCACGCACGCGGGCGTAAATTCCAACAAGACACAGCAGTGGCTGAAAAGATTGGTTGCGAGCATGAGATCTTGTGGCTTTTCAGCCACAGGCGAAAATGTGTGACTTTTGGTCTGCCCAAGTTGCCCTGCGCTAGCTGCTATGTGCAAGTGCTCTGTGCAATTTGCTTTGCGCGGGTTGCTCTGCGCAAGCGGCAGCGCTCTGTGCAAGTTGCTCTGCGCAAGTGCTGCCGGAGCTTTCGGGAAGTACTTCGCATACTAGTTTTCTGATTGAAAAGTTCCATTATGCAGCCGGAGCTGCAGGACTGTACTCCGCGTACAAAAGTTGCGATTTTCCAGCCGGAGCTGCGTCCGCGTACTACGTTTGCACTTAAAAGTTGCGATTTCTGTCTAGAAAAGCTTCCGCGGACCAGGCGGGGATCGACCCCGCGACCGCGCGACTCCGGGAGCAGCCGCGCAAACCACGCGACAACTTCCAAAGACCACCTCGCAAGCAACAAATTCGCACGGCGCCACAGCGAGAGCGCTTCGACACGCACGATCCTCGCAGAGGGTTGCGCGAGCATATTCAGAATCGAAAAACCCTCCGTTTTTGCACATCGACCACGCCGATCCCCGCAGAGGGTTCATCCTGGAATGTCAAAATCGCAAAAAAAAACCCTCAGTTTTTTTGACCTCGACCACACGAATCTCCGCAGAGGGTCGCTCGCACACCGCAGAAATCGTAAAAAGGGTCGCTCGCACAGAAATCGTAAAAAAATCCTCAATTTTTTGACCTCGACCACACGAATCTCCGCAGAGGGTTGATTTTCGTACGACAGACCCTACCGCGCCGCCCTAAGAAGAGAAGAAAGGAATGCCAGTGACTCTCAGGAGCATTGCTCCTCGCAAGTGACTCTCATGAGCATTGCTCCTCGCCAGTGACTCTCACGAGCATTGCTCCTCGCAAGTGACTCTCTGCTATGACTCTGTGCAATGACTCTCATGATGATGATGACTCTGCGCAATGATTCTGATGATGATGACTCTTTACAATGATTCTGATGATGATGACTCAGTGCAATGACTCTGCTGATGACAACTCTCTGCAATGATGATAACTCTTTGCAATGACTCCCATGAATCCAACGGAAGAACCCTTCGCCATGCTTTCGGGAACTCGCGCATTTTGTTGAAGTTGGTACACGAAAAACACAGGGCGAAGGGCTGCTGGGAGAGATGGATGGTGAAAGACGGCTGCAACTGTGTTGCAGCTATTGGAAGCATCGGACTCTCCTTCAGCTTAATGGAATGGAATGGGAAAGTTTTATTTGGAGGGAGACTCCTTTTTGGTGAAGAGAAAAACCAAGAGACAACCCACTATCTTAGGGCTAATGTTGAGACAAACCCACCGTCACAGCGATATGCAGCATGACGCTTCACTCTGCATGCAGAAAACTTGGTTCTAGGAGCAATTGCCGTGAAGTGATGAAGCAGTCATGGAAATGGCCCACTTTGGCAGCACAGAAAGGGGCACATGTTCCACCACCCATGTCCATGCCCAAACACCCACTAGACACAACTGGGTCTCCTCCAAAACAGCTTTGCGTGTTAGAGTGGACTATGAAACATATTTGTAAACGCTTCGCGTTGCCCACCTTGGCCTGTCCGCTTTTGGCTGGCCTGGAGGTATACAATGTGTTTTAGTGTGCCTTGAAGTGTTGTTATCCAAGTGAGTGAGTTGGCGCCGAAGATTCTCAAGGGCCAGAACGAGAGCCGCAGAGAGCTACAGAATGGTGGGCCAAGTGCAGGTGCAAATTTTGATTGTTTTGGTTTTTGTTTTGGGGAGGATTTTGCAGGTTTCTGGGGGGGGGGGGTTGACGGGAGTTGGACCTGTTTTCAGAGGGGATTTGACAGGCTTCTAGTGGGGTTGGCGCAGGGAGAACCAAGATCCTTGTTGAAGTTGAAGGGATCTGACCTCTCGGCCCCTCTTGCGGATTGGAGGCAGCTGGAGCAGGGATGTTACGCGACATGGGGTCGGGGACTTCAAGTTTGGCTAACCCTCCTTGTTGATAGTTATTGTTTCCGCAGCTTTCCGTTGTAGACCTGTGAGAAAAGCGGCAATGTCACCGGGGTCCAGAAAAGGGTCCCTGTGCCCATATCTTCAACCAAAGCTACAAAGCATGGTATTGCTTTTGCAATGCAACGTGAGAGGCGTGGGGTTGCAAGCTTGACAAAAACCCTGGGCAAAGTATGTGATACTTTCTCACCCCTCTCCAATGTTCCTTTGTTTTGAGATTTCCGCTTCAGATCACCCCGAAAACAGGCGCCCTTTCTTCCCATGGATATTCACGGGGCACTTGTGCTTGCTAGGCCAGCCAGTGAATGAGCTCGCACATTGGGCTGTCGGCAAAGTAGCTAACCCAGGTCCACCTATACAGTATTGCAGGTCTGACCACCTTTCCCAGGGCTTGCCTGTTCTCAAGGTCAACCAAATATGATGCGTTTGACACGGCTTTTTGGAGTACCCCAGGCCAAGTTTTTGTCTGATTTTCGCCAGGTACACATTCTCTTCGAAGGGTCCAAGATTATCATCGGTTGCCGGTCACAGTCGCCTTGCGGGCGCATGGAGGGGCCGACAACTGATCGCTTGCGATAAGCTATGTGTGTGTGGCCTTTGCAGTGTCCAGTCTGGGGCTGGCTGGCTTAGAGGGAAACCAAGGGCGGACCGCCTATGTTGG